AGTGATCTGGTCGTAGCATTAGTCGCATTGTTATGGCCGAGATGAAATTTAGTCTTCTAAGGGTTTTTTTAGAGGGAGGTATCAGTGCAGAGATTATCGTAACTGTGCTAACATCACGGTTTCGGAATAAATTCGATTTATGGTAGGCCATCGAATACATTTCTTTACAAGTATTGGGCACTGAAGCTCCAATATTTGAAGCTAGGATTAGGATAGGCACTGTTTCGGTACAATGACGAATACTGACGGAGAAGGATGTCTTATAAAGGACTTTTTCTGTTTGAGTATTAGAGATAGTCATCTTGCAGCCACGTCTTTGTTTTTTTGGTAATTTCATTCAAAAGTGGATTATACTCACTATATGCAAGTGTTTCTTTGTTAGTAAAGGTATTATTACTACTTTCTGCCCAACCACTCCGGTATTGAATATTCCAGGCTCGCAGGAAAAGCATAAAGCCAGCAGTGGGAAGTGGGAAAGCAAGCATTTAGATGCTGTTCTCATCTTCACCCATAACCAATGCGAACCACGTGCAAAGATTGCTGCATTTGACATGGGTTTGTAGTGTGTTCACATAATTTATTCTAGAATTTTCATAATGGTTTCAGATGGCTCCTTGGTTTCTACAAAATCAGGAAGAGTTTATCCTGTGAATAATAATGATTGGCGCATGACTTTTAATGAAACTGCGCCACGCATAAAGAAGCTGTATGATGAACAAGGGTACAAAATCGTCATATTTACGAATCAAAAGGGAATTCAGGTAGGTATAGCAGTCTATGCTAACGAGTGAGACAGTCTATGACAAATTTCCCTAAAATATGTTTTTTTTCTAATTTTTCAGTATTTCCATCTGGCAGCAAACGTTTCCTTCTTTTTCTCTTTCACCCTACACATCCATCTAGAAGAGCTAGTGTTAAATTTCTAACTATGAAAAAAAGTTGGTAAGAACTTGGGCTCAAGCAAGCATGCCAAAACTAGATGCCTCCAAACTTTTTAAGGCAACAACTGTATCCCTTTAGATTGGCAGGGTCAAAAAAGATGCATTCAAAAGAAAGATTGAGGCTATCATATCAAAGCTCGGAGTGCCGTGTCAGGTGTGTTTTTATTGAGTGGGTTATCAGAGAAACCAATTTCAGATATTCATATTCGATAATATAACGTTTTTCATGCCCTACGTACCATTTTGAAAGGTTTTCAGGCATTTATCTCAGTTGGTGAGGGTGGCTATCGGAAACCCTGCACAGGTATGTGGAAGGAGCTTATGCATGCCAACGGCGGCGTTACCATAGACGTCG